TGGGGGTCCAGGGAGCTTCTAGGAGGTTATGTTGCAAGTACTCATCCTTGAGTAGGGTTGTCCTGGGCTTGTATAGGGTTCTGTACGTCGAGGACCGTTTGGAGTTCTCGAAATGAAGGAGGTTTCTCGGGATCCTAGGGGTGCATGGGGGTTGGAAAGGGATTACGGGCGGTCCTTCTTGAAACAAATCTGTAGTCATCTTCTTGCAAAACAATCTGAGCCGCCGCCCCGGTGTTTAAGGAATATTTCAACATCAGCGCGCTGTTGGGGCTGTTTAATCTTAGGGGATGGGGGATTTGAACCCTAAACCCCTTAATCCGAAGCCCTAAAACCCTTAACCCTTTTTTGCAACCGGACGGCGCCTCTTGCCATAAACCCTAAACCCCCTAGAACCCTAAATCCTTTTGCTGCAGGCTTGTCCACCTCTCAACCCTAAACCCTTAAACTTAAACCCCTATAACCCCTACATGAAGCCTATATAAACATATATATATATATACATGCATATGTGTATTTCTCTGTCTCTCTCTCTCTCCCCCTATAGAACCCCATTTAAAGGGCCGCCGAACTTTGGAAACCACGATGGCCTGGGATGGCAAGCCCCGGACCACGGCACCTTCCAAAAATGCCTCAGATCGGAGAGCATGGAAGCTACAGTATAGGGATATATAGGGCTATATAAGGTTATATAGGTTGATATGTAAGGTTATATAGGGTTATATATAAGGTTATATAGGTTTATATAGGGTTATATAGGGTTATATAAGGTTATATAGGGTTATATCGGGTTATATAGTGGAAAGTAGGGATATGTAGGGATACATAAGGATATGTCGGGTTTTTAAAGGTTATATGGGGTTATATGAGGTGGTGTCAAAATCACTTGTGTGTTCTCTCTTGGTTTTTGAGTTCGAGCGTCCCTTATCGATTTCCACGTTTTGGGGATCTTCTCTTAACCATACCTTAACTATAGTTTTAGGACGTCCCCCGTCGATCTTGGGGATTTTTGCGTAACAACTACCGCCTTGACTAAACCAGGTAAACGGTAATTTTGACCGCGACTCATATACGGCTAGCCGTATATAGGGTTTTTTTGGGATATATAGTGACATATAGGGATATATAGGGTTTTCAAGTGCTCTATGTTGTTATTGTTGGTTGTATAGGGATGTATGGGGATGTATGGGGATGTATGGGGATGTAAGGGGTTATATACTGGGTTGCTGTCAAGATTACATTGGGGGATAGTGTAACTAATAGGGTTTCTTTATTACAGTAACCGAATTTAAGTTTCTTAACAGCAACCCAGTATAGGGATGTATGGGAATATGTATCAGGAATCTGCGGGACCAATCGCATGGAAACTGCTGTTCTTCTTTGGGGGATTTCTTTGTTGAACAGCTCATGCGATGCCCTCTACAAAAAGGACTGGCTGACAGGACCGTAAAGGTTTAATGCGAACCCCGAACAGGGAACCCCAAGAATATAGCAGAAATAAAATAGAATGGAAGGACCCTAGTAGGTATATTCCTATTATATTCCCACTAAATTCTTCGGGTTCCCTGTTAAATCTGAGACTGGAACCTTGGCGAAGACCTGCCGGGCAACGGCTAGGGTTAGGGTTTAGGGAGAATCTTACCCAATAATGGAGAATCATATGGAAAAGAAAACGGAAAATGATGCGGAACATGACTTTATATGGCGTTCATCTGGATTGTAGCTTACTTGAAAGGTCAGGGGGACCAAGTAGGTTAGTATTAGGCATAGGTGGGCTTCGTATGTGAGTGGGTGATAGGGGCTATCTACATGTGTATCAATATATATACTTACTAAATCCCCATGACCCTCCAAGCATGGCCCTGCATGGTGACAGTTTCCCGCACCTTGTATCGAAAGTTCGACTCTGTGGGCACATCCACCTGCAGGGAACATGATTAAACCTTCCATTCCGTAGCAGCACCTATACTACTAAGCCGGAGGCTACAGGCATATACAAACGCTACAATCTAGACCCTAAACCCTCAACCCATCATGGTAGTTTCCATTTTCTTTTCCATTTTTACTATACAACCCTATGTTAGGAGTCGGTACTACGCGCTTCTGGTTGAAAGCCTCACCTCAACCGTCGGCAGCGAATATGACAACGGGGCATACAACCTCAGACACGACACGGCAAGTTATGGGGGTCCTCCTTGAGAGGTTTAACGCCTTAATTTACCTGGTTGCAGTGATGACAGGGAGGATAGGTAACAATCCACCCTTCCCGCAACAGAAAAGCCTGAACTTTGGTATCTTCAATCTCCTGTTCTGCTCTTGAGGCGCCGGCGGGCTGGCAAAAGCAAGCACTTTGTCCTGCGAAAAGCTGTCACGCTAAGAACCATGCGAAGGCTGAAGTCAACTGTGTCTCTTCTGTCCTGTCTCGTAATAATTTGAGATACCTAGGTTTAGGCAGGCTTTACCTCTACAACTGTAGAACTCACCCTGGCATCCCAATGCAGCACTGGGCATAGACTCAAGATCCGGGCGGTCCTGCTCAGACAAATAGCGAGGTCCTGGAACAGGGAGAAACCTTCGAAGACGCGCATACCAAGATTTAAAGCAGGATAAAAGGTGAAAGGGTGTTGTATGGTGTTGCATTGCGTTAAACAAGGTTCTAGAAGCATGAAGATGAGCAGGGGCCTGAATGCCTCAATCTACCCACGCTCTGGCGTCCAAAACCCTTGAGGCAATGAGATGTTGTGCTACTCATAATTCTTCCAAGGAGTGCTATGAAGACTTCCCGAACTTTGATCCGTGGCTGAATTCCGCATAAGACTGGTTAGTGCCATGAACTACCTGTGGTGGTTGCTGCCAATTAGCAGTTCTTGCTGAGATATAACGTCTCGCGGCGATAACAAGGAGGGCCTTTTGATCTGGATCCTTGATCCTTGCAATTGAATATGAGCTATAGTCTAAACTNNAATAGCCCCTATAGTAGTTCCCTAAATAATCCCCTATATAACCCCCTTTAAGGAGTTTAGACTATAGCTCATATGACTATTGCCTTCCCATCTTCTCCTAGCCAAAAGGAACCTTAAACCTCGGACCGGGGCTCCCAAATTCGACCCAAAGCTACAGATGGCCTCATTAGAGCCTCGCGGTTTTATAAGTTAGGTGGACCCCCCACCCTGTAAGAGTGACTACAAGGGATGATAGGGAATATATTAGGGCCCTCTTATACTCTTATTATACCACCATTACAGGGTGGGGGGTCCTCCTAAGGTATAAGTTAGGTCAATCCCCCCTACAGTAATAGCCCCTAGATATGGAGTTAAGGGGGCCTTATTACACCTACAATAATACTCCTTTGTGTACCAATTACTGGGTGGGAAATGGCCCAGGGTATATGCGAAGATCCCAGTGCCTTTTGGAGGCCCTTCTGGGGGCCTGAACCCCAAATCCTAATTCCACTGAGGGGATCCCTAAACCCTGAACCCTAAACCCTTTTGCAACACGTATTCTGAAACCCTGAACCCTAAATCCTAAATCCTAAACCCAAAAATTTTGAAATCTGGAGTCGTCATACACCGAGCCCCGGACTCCCCCAGCTGCAACAAAGGGCAGCCACCCGCCGCAGCGCGCTGTAGGGTTTAGGATTTAGGGTTTAGGGTTTAGGATTTAGGGTTTAGGGTTAGGGCTAGTTTCCCGAAACAAAAGGTACCTTAAAGGGGTTGATAGGGGATAGATAGAGTTATATGTAGGGACATATAGGGTTTAGGGTTTCCCAAAACTAGGGGTACCATCATTTTAGGTTTCACAATATGGACTATAGCATTTTGGGGTCTATATTGGGGTACCTTTATTTGGGGAAACCACTACTTACTGGTGGTTGTAGGGAATAAAGGGAATACCTTGGCAACTTGTACAAATAAGTTAAGCTAACGTCGTTCTGCTCAGGCTTTTCTACGAGCGAATTCAGCAGTACCTCGGTCGAGCAAGGTTAGAGACAGATGGGAGATCCAATAGATCATGGCATAGATGTTTGTATATGGTGGTTGCCACAAATAAGGGAACAGCCATACAAGTAGTAACATTCATAATCACAACTGTGATAATAACCAAATAAGAAAAGCAATGATAACAATCATACTGCTGATACTAACGAGAAAATAAAGATAACCCATTGCAAATCATACTGATAATGATAACCCTATATTATAACCTATATAACCCATTATAGTAGTTTCCATTTTCTTTTCCATTATCCCACTAATACCCCAATAGATTACTATAGTAGTTTTCACCCTAAACCCTAAACCCTATAGTAAGTAGTTCTCATTTTATAATCACAGCGTCTGATTCACCGCTGCCTTCGCGAGCTGCAGCGGATCCACAGTCACGCAGTCCCTGCTAAGGGTTTAGGGTTTGCCGCTTGCATGGCCAATACAGCATCGCAAGGTTTAGGGTTTAGGGTTTAGGGCCACAGGCTGGCGGGGTTTGGGGAATTTTTCTGCATTCGCGACAGTGTGATATGGATGCTTCTCAGAGCTGCGATTCGTTGCAATGTATTTTGCAAAGCGTCTAACCGCAAAAGTGTTTATTCTTGGGGCATCAATCTTTTAGTTTCAAGTTTTTCCGTGCCTTTCGAAGTTTCTCATCTTATACAAAGAGTTTGATCGTCAATTTCCTTGTTTATGTAAAAAGTTGTTGTGTGTTATGATCGTTGGCTGCACAGTTCAAATTGCAGGAACACGCTTTTCACTCAAAGGTCACAGCTTCTTAAGGCTACTTACCCTAGGCACTTGTGCAACACGAGACCGTAGAAGACCCGGCAGTATACCGACTGATGGTAAACCTTAACATGTCAAATGCACCAGGAATCTGCGTCAACAGAAGCACCCCAGGGCTTTTAAGCAAAGCTTTGGATCTTCAGCCCCAGATTCGCGCAATGGCCCGACCACTTGCGCCTCATAAAGTGTTTGTGGGTGGATATGATCTCCTGGGCACAAGCACTCACAACTTAGCAAACGTGCTTCGCAGGGATTCTGAGCTGCGGCGCATTGAAAACCAAGACAGATGGGTGCGGCCTGCACAAGAGACTTTACAGCGCAGAAGGAAAATGCATGTTTTGCAGATTGAGGGAGAGTTGTCCTGCCTGTGCCTGAAGGCATTGGAAGATGTGTGGATGTAGACGGGGCGCTCCCGACCCAAATCCGCACATATGTAAGCGCGATTTCCTTAGAATGCCAATCACTAGTGAGAGGCGCACATGACTAACAGGCGATGCAGTGCTGTGACTTGCTGTGGATATAGAAAAGGGGGTGCCAGCAACACTATCCCACCTCCCCCCCATCTTCCGACGTAAAGTACTGACTTCGTCAGGAGCAGCACCCACTTCAGCTTGTCTCAAAGATACCAAGTTCTACATAGTGGGGCCCGCACCCAGCTCGGGACAGGATACAGCGACCCTGTCCAGCAAGCCCTCAACGATGCACTCACCTTGAGTGGATCAGAGATGCAAATATTATTGCTAGTACTCTTATTGCTACTCTTATTGTTATTGGCTCCGACGGAGCGTAAACGCGCAAAAAATGCATACTTGGCCGACCTCTCCGGATGTGGCCTGCGTGGGACGAACCACACGTTGGAGGTGTTTCAAGGGCCCGAAATACGGCGTATACCACACATCGCGCTTTTTCATGTTGGACTGCAGCCGGTAGCCAGAGCATCCATGCAAAAACCATAATAACGTTCGTGTTCGAGAGCCTCCGATAACCAGAGCATCCATGCCCAGACCATAACAACGTTCGTGCTTGAAGAGCCTACGCTCACCAGTGAATCAATGACCAAACCATTATAGCGTTCGTGTTTCGAGGGCATACGCTCACCAGAGCATCCATGCCCAAAGCAAAATCACCCTGGCCGACTCAGCGCCGTCTGGGTCTGTACCTTGACTACGACAGCCCGTCCTCTTTGGACTCCAGAGACTCCCCGCCACATGTGGGTTTATGTTTTTCTGGAGGCTTTCCGGTTTAGTTGCTAGCTTTCACGGGTTTCCCGACTCGCAATTCACAACCATGCGGCTCCAGACAAGCGCACTTCCTCCACAACCAAGACTCCTTTCAAGCATCCGCCTCCATTACTACCCCTTGCGACCTGTCAACCCCTCAACGCCAATCCTACAACATAAAACCACCCGCAGGCAATTCCTAATATAGAAAACACTGAAATCTGAACTTCCTGGCGATGGGACACCCCTTGCAAAACACAATAGTTTTGCAAAGGCACCCGTAATTGTTCTTGTTTTGTGACATGTATTTTCGGGACGGCTTATAGGTGCGTGCGTGCAAAAATCCTGCGTTTCGCAGTGGAGTCAGTACTCAACAATTGCACGCCGATGAATTGGCGCGCGTTTACGCTCCGTTCGAGCGTTGTTATTGCTACTATCAAAATTACTATTACTTAGGCCACCCTGTAATAGTGGTATAATAGGAATATAAGAGGACCCTAATATGATCCTTATTATCCGTAGTAGTCACTATTACTGGGTGGGGGGTCCACCTAAACTATTACTACTAAATTAGTCTTTTCGCCGGAGCTTTAGAAGTACGACTTATCTAGGGATGATACCGACGAATATTATTTGCGCGTCTGCAGGAGCGACATGTCATCTCTCGCCGTGAGGCTACAAGAGTCTGTTTCAACAAGGCTGTTGCAACACAAAGCCTGATGTGAGCGGATATAGGGTTATACAGGGATTATATAGGGTTCAAGGTTTTTGCTACTTGCATGGCTGAAGCAACGCAAGGAACGATCCGGTTTGAGGTTTCAAGCTGAAGGATGCCAAGCTCAAAAGATCCAGTGAGCTCAGCATCCGAAAACACGGCTAGGCTACGCCTGACGTCCACAACAGAACAGAGTTCAAGGTTTAGGGTTGAGGGTTTAGGTTGTTTAAGGCTCAGAATTTAGGGTTCAAATTTGTATCTACTATGTCTTGCCACGTGCTTAGCCAGCTACCATGGGCTGAATCATGCCTGTACTGTACAGGACAGGTACATTCAGCAGTAAGCGCCCAGCGCAAGAGCAAAGCCTGCCAAAGGGGCGTGGGATGGCAATACGTGGGATAAAACAAACTATTGACTCGGGGCTTTCAGCGGAAATTCTGGCTGTTCTAAAGAAGTGACCCCTACACAAGGATCCGTATGGCGCAACAGGGCAAATGAAATATTAACCCTAATATAACCCCAACATACTATATTTGTTTCGATTTTCTTTTCCATTATCCCAATACATTCCCAAACCCTAAACGCTAAACCCTATACTACCCTTGGAGTTCCCTAATGTGCGAGCAGTCTCCCTCGCTTACAGCCTGCGGCGCTTTGGGGGGCTTGGGCAGGAGCGGAAGCTGCAACTCCAAGTCCGTAGACCTTAGTAGAAGAAGAGTAGCAGTGGAACATACAATTGTCTAATAATAGTATACATTATAGTATAATAATGATAATAGTATATACAATGGTATAGTAACGGTGTAAATAATAGTAGGATAAAAAAAGAATAATAAGAGTCTATGTCATATTATACTCTAAGTCTGAGGAGCACGATCCCTTTGCTAAGTCATAAGCCCTACCCTATTCTTGATGTTCCACTACTATAGCAATGTGCATACACAACTAGTTGCTTTCTAGCCCTGGCTTCCTGAGCAGCTGAGACCTCCACGCCAGGGACAACCTGCGCCTGAAAGCGGAAACTATTACAAGGGGTTATGTAGGGGTTGTATTGGGATGATGGAACTAAAAATGGAAACTACTGTAAGGGGTTATATAGGGGTTATATTGGGATAATGGAAAAGAAAATGGAAACTACTAGTTTCTATTTCTGGTTTGTACTGTGCTTGGTTCCAGTTTTTCTGGACACTTAGATCCTGTTTGCCGTCGTTGAATCTAGTTCACATTAAACGGCTTGGGCCCAGCCTGCCCGCAGTTCTCTCTGCGCTAGTGCCGCTAGTGCTTTCAGATCAGATCTTCGCACATGTTTGCCAAACATGCTCTACTATGTCTTCTGAGGTGCACGCTGCAGCAACTCGGCCAACTGCTGCATCAGGCTGTGTGCCTCGCACGGGCCCACAGAAGCTGATTAGCCCACTCCCTGTGACACCGTCTTCCTCTTCCCCTCTGATTCAGCGCGACGTACCCGAAGCTACCGGCACCTCGGCCATCTGGCGAGGGTTGATCTTGTTCTGCTGGCAGAAAGACTCGGCAGCCTTGGCAACGTATGTCCAAGCCACTGCCTTCCACCGAAAGCAGCTTAAAGCAGCTTGGCCCAAGGCCACCTCGCCACCTCTTGCAGCCCATGCATACCCACCTGCTGCACGCAAAGCCTATCTTCAAAAAGGTTAGGTCTGTCTGAGCCCTCGGCCCATCAACCACAGCAGGCCCTCTGCGTCATCCCGTAGCTGGCTCCTTGGGAAATGCCAACATGCCACACACCACTGCGAATTGCTCTTGTGAAATGGCTACTTATTGTTCTTCTGCAGGGCTATTGCTGCTGACGACATATCTTGGGAACAGACCACTTTGGGGCCTCCTTTCTGGTGGCCTCATCCAGCCGCCTCTGCGCCTGCAACAGGGAGAAACTTCACATGGAGTTGATAGTCGTGGTAAAAGCCTTGTTGCTTGACACTGTCAATACCAGGGTGGTGTTACTGTTGATGTTGTTTCTTTAGCATCAGCACTGTCATACTAACCTTTTGGGGCCATGTGAGAATACTGAGGTGACGTTGAAGAATTCACCCAGTGATTTGAATTAGACTCTTAGACCATAGTGGAAACGATACGGAGGATACTAGAACCGGCTTCAAGCTTTAGACACCCCACCCCACGAACTACAGCACCCAGAAGTTCCCTGGCGTGCAAGATATGGAACTCAGGCTTTGCAAGCCACCCGCAGAAGGAAAAAAAGAGGGTTGCGGCATTAGGGCGATTGGCACCCTATGGCAGGCAAGCAGAATATCCGAATGCTGGCAACCAGCACAAGGCAAGCCAGCATTTGAAGTGGAGGCGAATCTCGCTTTTTTTGGATGATGGCTGATGCCAAAAGGGCATAATACATATCACCCTAGCCTACTTTGAGCGTTTCAACTCCACACATACTACAACATCCCCATAACTTGGATCGGAGAGAACAGCCGCCTTCCAGGGCCTCAACTTGGGTTGATTTTCCGATTGAGACATACCCTGGCTACCCTACACTGCAAGCTCAAATGATAAGTCACATACCTTTCTGCAGCTTCCACGCGTGTCACTGCTGGAATGCACCTATTGTGAAACTTCAAACATGCACTCGGCTCGCAGCTTGGCTTTTGTCTTGACAAATGCGAATGTCGAGTCAAGATGAGGGCTGTTCTAGGCCGAAGGTTGGAAACACAGCTTTGCTGGTTCCTCCTGCCTACTAACCCTAAAAGCAGCATGTCCAAAGCCTGCTTGGCTTACATATTTGGCTGAGGCCTTCTTAGCAGCTTCAGTTGGCTGGAGTTTTCCGGAGCATGCTGCTTGAGCAGACAACAGGCCATGCAGATGCTCAGCGTGCCCGTCCCAGTCAAAGTTGTTCCGAGCAACATGGTAGTGTTTGAAATCTCGCCCGCGAACAAGGCCTGAGAAAACACACCAGGGTATCCTCCTAAAAGAAGGTTGCGCTGTTGGGGCGGGTTGAAGTAAACTCCGTAGTAGACTTGGTTATTGTCCAGCAGTGTGTTCATGAATGGGAAGTGCGCGTGCACACAGAGGTCTTCTCTAATGGGGGAATGGGGGTAGGGCGGATGATGAACTCCGCGATTGTGTACAAAATGCCAATACCATGAATGTTCTTCTGGTGATGTTTTCTCAAAGTTTGCAAGCTTGCAAAGTTATGCCATACACACATTGCCGATTTGAGGCTAAACGCCAAGTGTGACGGGCCCTGATGCTCCAACCACCCAGGATTTGAATGGCATTTGGGAGGTCACACATTAACCCAGACCCCAGATTAACAAACCCACACCCCTTAATAGGGATTATGATAGGAATCCTGAAATTTAGGGCCCTTAAAAGGAGGGGGTTTATTAATCATGGGTCTACATTAGAGCCCTAAACCCTAAACCCTAAATAGTAGTTTCCATTTTCTTTTCCATTACCCCTATAGAACCCCAAAATATACCCTATGTTCATTAATCATAGGTCTACATTATACGGACAATCCCACCTTTGCCCAGATCCAGCTGACCCTCGAAGTGCACGCAAACCTAAAACCCAAGAGTGGGTAAGAAAATTTGTAGGGTTTAGGGTTCAGGGTTTAGGGCCTGACATGAGCCTCTTGATGCACCCAACCCCCCAAATCAGTAGGGTTCCTAGGAACGTTCCTAGGAAGAGGGTTCCTCGCCGGGGCTTCAAGAAGCTTTACGCTAGAGAAATGGGAGGAAACGCTGAATAAACATGTGGCAGTAAAAATGAAATCCACGTCCTACCCTAGGGTTCCAAATTCAATGTCTGGGAAGGCCTTGTTGGAGGTTTACAGGAAGGTTCTCACGAGGTTCCTAAGAAGATTCCTCGAGGCCCACGAAGCTCCACAGGTTTGAAATATAGGGAAACGTTTACCTTTTGGGGGTACTTGTGGCTTGTGCTAGCAGAAATAAGATAACCCTATATAATATAGGAGTTTCCGTTCTATTTTCCATTATCCCTATATAACCCCTATAATTTAAGCCCCTATATATTCCTTTAAAGGTTTCCTACCCTCCAAAAATCATCTACTCTCAAAAGGCCTCGTTGGAGGTTCCTGGGATGGTTCCCAGCACAGTTATAGGATCCCACGCGCACGAGAAACAGGAAGAACGCTGGGGTGGACTTGTGGCTTGTGGTAGCAGCAACAGCAAAATCCGCATCCTACCCCTGAAAAAAATCCCCTGAATAAGCCCTTGCTGGAGATGCCTTGATTTGCTAGATAGTTCAAAGGAGCGTTTCTAGGCGGTGGCGGGCTTTGGTGTACGTGATGATGGGGATGGTATTTCTTCCTCTATTTCTGTAACCACCACTCCCCCCCAGGTCCCCCCCAAAAATATCCTATGATAAGGTGGAGGTATATGCAATCAGAGTGGCGACCCAAATTGGCATTGGTAGCGCAGACCCGCTTGGCGCGGCATACCTTCTGCCTTTTGCTGTCGCCAGCACAGCACTTGGCACATGACAAAATGCAGGAAAGAGCATCCGTTTGCGGTTCCGGATTATGCAGGAAAGTATGCTTGCGAATGCCACGCGCCCAAAACCAACACGAAATCACAATGCCCGGTCCAAAATCATCATCTTGACCCGCAGACGAATGGGGGCGAGAAACCTTGTCTTCAACACGCACAACGCACTTCAGCAGGGATCCCGAAAGGAGGGCGGCCCAGCACTACGGAGCAAGACTCTGGATGGCTGAAACGGCTGAACACGGCCTGTCCCTTAATGAGCTGTGACTCAAAACAGCTCCAGGGCCTAAGAGGGCCCTGCTTTGCCTGAAGCCAAGCAACTGAGGATACACTTCAGCCGCGAGTCGTTCTCGTGGTGTCCTAAGCATACAAAGATCTCAACAACATCGTCCAAGCTTGCTCAAGCCAAGGGGCTGTGGATGGCTTGACGCCACGCTCCAAGACTGCCGCACGTCCGGTCTCGGTATGAAGGGCTCTGAGACGGCAGGGTGCACTTTGCAGATGGCTGCATCTATATAATAATATTCATAGTATTAATATTAACATTATTCATATTAATGCTATTTTATATAAATATTGGTAATATTGATAATATTCTTAATTATAATACTTCATTGCAAGCCTGAGCCATGCGCCACCCTTTGTTTTTCCGAGGACATATCAATGCGGCTCGAGGGCGCGTCCATCTCGGCAGCAGCTGACTCATTGGACCCCGTCCATCCAGCAGGCTCAGGCCAAGAGGCTTGGGATGATGATATGCGGGTCGAGGGCGCTGAACTTCCTGCCTTGTTTTTGAAGGCTCTCAAAAAGTGTTCTGATGATGCCAGCCGCGAGAAAGCCTACACCTAGGGAATAGAGAGAGCACCTGAAACTTGCCTGGAAGCCACTAGTCCTGGTAAGGATTGGACTAGAACGGCTATAACAGGTAACATGCACCCCATTCACCGCCAATCTGGCACAGCAGCGAAGGTCTTTGACAGTTCTTAACTTCAAAGCCAAGCTGAGCAGCCGAGGATAATATCTCAACACCACGGATAAGCGAACCCCGTCCATCCAGCAGGCTCAGGCCAAGGGGCGATGGATGATGACATGCGGGTCGACTCCGCGGTCATCTCAGCAACAACAGATCTCAAAAAGGTCTAGTCAGCGTCTGTTTTCAGGTCCCTCAAATAGTGACTGATGCTCCTGTTAAGACGTGCCCATAAGTGTAATCAAATGTAACCATGATTCTCTTCCGCCCCAGGCCCAAGAAAAAACTGGAAAACCACGCCATTGTGCTTCTTTTGACGAAGTGCTTCTGGCTCATTCCAGATTCTAGATCCAGCCCCTAACAGTTTTCTGGCTCACTGGCTCAGGTCAGGGTGCTTCGTTTGGTCTCGCATCACGGGTCGTGACCGTGGAACGGCCTTCCTCGGCTTGACGGTGCTCAGCTAATAGCCCCAGTCAAGTTGGGAAGGCTTGGGAGGAAGAGTGGGCATGCCATCTTCGTCTACGGACTTGGGATGTGAAGTCAAGGAGCATTCTCAAAGAGATTTTGAAAATGAGTATTTCGTCCGGTGGCCGCCATCTCAGCACTGGAGGCTTCTCGACTAGCACAGTCTGAGCTGAGAGCGGCAGCGCTAGAGAAAAGAAAGTGGAAGGAAATCTCCTCTTGAAATGAGCTTCCACTCAGATGCCCCAACCGCCCTGCAGGAACGAACATGATGTGGACTGCATTTTTATACCTTCGAGCTTGAACAGTTCCCGCGCGTCGAATATGGCTTGGCTCCTCTTCGCCTTTTTTTGAGGGGCGCGCGATGTGAGGGTTTGAGGTGAAACAAGCACATTCTTACTACTCTTATTACTCTCAGTAGTACTATTGGTAGTATATTAGTATTGCGATTAGTATCACTATATGTATTACTCTTAGTATTACTATAACTGATGCGATTATTGAAACTATGATTATTACTTACTACTCTTGTTACTATTATTATTAACATGGTTAGCCGGGTTGAAGAGGAAATGTCCCAGCGGATGTTTCTATTACTCCTTATGCATCTATGTCGCGTAGAGCACGGCATCGCGTGGAAATTAACGCGACATCGTAGACTGCCTGCACCCATATTCGCAGCGTCTTGGCTGCCCTGGAAATCCTCTCAACTCTCTCTACCTCCAGGTCTGGGTTGTCGATGTACCACTTCACTAGAACCAGGACCTTTGGTGCAATGCGCGTTGCATCCATGTGTAGCAGTGTCTGGAGGATTGTCTTGTCGTCCAGCATGCTGCGCAGGTCCGACCAAGTTTCATGTGGGTTGCCTAGCAATAACGCGACAGCTTCGAGAACTAGCCTGCAGTCCTTCGGCGGCTTATGGAAGCTCCTGAGTTCAACAACGTCAGCTTTGTTCAAGGAGTCTAAAGCAACATGGGCCCTAGTCATTCGATTCTGGAGCTCAGCTTGCAGGTGGACCACGCCGGTCCCTGCTGGTGCACATTCCTCACTGGCCTGAGCTGCAAAGGCCTCGACCGACAAAACCGTGTAGAGCAGCTCACCCTCCATTTCCACACCCAAAGACTCCAGAGTGGCACTGTACCGCTCCATGGGCGCATCGCCAGCAAGGAGGGCAATGTCGCCAGCATCTTCTGGGAGAAGAGGCCGAAAACGGTCAACGATATCTTTGTATGTCCAGGCTGGTGTGGCTCCTTGCAAGGTTGCAAAGACCTCGCCTGAAATGACTGACTTCAGGTGAAGCCGACCTTGTGGCATCGAGTCGGTCTCCACAGGCTTGCCATTTGGCTTGCTGGAAGTTTTCTGAGATTCTTTGCTGAGCTTGGCCTGTTTAGCCGCCTTAGCTTTGGCTTCGGCGCGCTGTTCCCTGGCTGCTTGTGCCTCGGCCCTGGCGGCCTTGAGGCTGTCTTCTGTCAACGGAAAAGCAGGTTCCGGACAGCCACAAATATCCCCCAAAGCATGGCACCAACGAAGTAGCAGCACGCAGGCAGGCGAAAACTGTGCCATAAACTCACTGGGCACCGACGTGATCTCCAACTCGCTGTAGAGCACGTCGCGTATGCGATGCTGGTCACTGACCTCCGGCTCAAATTTTTGAAGCTGACTGATGAAGTCGCCATCCTTCTGGAGGAGCTCTTGAATCTGTGGCCAGCCTTCAAATTCTGTCCCTGGACGTGTACACTTCACGATTGCTTCGAACAACTTCTTCACATACCACGGGACGGGACCAGCCAAGACATTGCTGAGATCTTTCACTGTCACGAAATCCAGCTCAGACTTTGCCTTGGGCAAAGGTACCACAGCTGAAGCCATCGGCCCAAACCGGTCGTTAGCGTCTTGGCTGTAATTATTCTTCCTTCTCGGCTGACCCCTGCTTTTGGTGTGTGTGTGTGTGATTCTGAGTCTGGCATGCAGATCCGCTCCATTCACTGGTCACCTGTTCTCATAGGAACCCATGGGCCATCCTGGGATGCGCTAGTAAGCAATAAAACAGCTATTACCGCGACCGAATGAGTACTGACTTTTCTCCTAGTCATAAAACAGGAGAAAGAGGCACGCTTCAGAACTCAGGTGCCAAAGACAGCACCACAACTAGTCAAAGTCAACAACACATACTTTTTTACAAATCCAACCAGTAGCCTACGCAGACATGTGCACAATGTCTGAATCTGGCAGACATGAACAACAAGTACGATACCTTCTCGCATCAAGACGGTGAGAACTTTCCACATGATGTCCCGACTGGCTGTGGTGATTTAATGAGAAGGAGACCACTAGAAACACATTGGATTACACCGGTAACTATGAAAATCAAGCCGTGAATTCTGAAGTGCCTCAGCAGCATGTGCAAAAAGCAGAAACTGTGGCAGTAGTAAAGTAGTAAGCCAGAACCTGCTCGCGGGAAACTTCGCTTGCGCAACATGTGCAACGAGACATCACCCAGAATGATCAGGAGCTTCATCGCCATCATCACCATTGCATCTTTCAATGCTTCATTCTCCCGCAACCCGGCAACTCGGCAGAAAAACAGAGCTCAGATACAGATTACGCGTACCTCATCCACTAATAGTGTAGCAATGTTATTAATGAGGTGGTGACACTGCACATTCGCCGCCTAACAAAAGAAGAGTCTTGGAGACTCCGATTTCTTCGATGGGAGCCCCAAAACCTACAAACAGTGTCCACCGGTAACAAGTAGCAGGTGACAACGATCATACCCCCCACCCCAACGATTTTACATCACGGAACAGGTTGGGCGTTAGATTTAGGTGCTATCGCTATCAGAAAAGTCTAGCCGCCCCCTCCAACGTTGATTTTTATGACCCTCCAGGGTATGTGTGAGCTTCGTACATGACATAGTGTACATGTAAGCAAACTAGGCATCCATCAGTGACATCAGCTGCACATGCTCTCTACACTGGCCTCTTTCTGGGCTCGCACAAGCTCGTTCTCGAGCCCACTGCTGTTGCCTGACCAAATCCGCAAATGTGTCTGATCTTTTTTTCTCGTCTGCTGCCCTAACTGCAGCGTAGCCTTGCAGGTCCAGCTCCTGCACAGACTCCCAGCAAGTGAGATTGCCGACCTTAGCGCGATCAAGCTCATGCCTACCCCTCCTCGTTTAAGTCGGGAGCTCTCTGGATAACTCACGCAGCTCTTGTGCTCGTGCCAATGTGTCTGAAAGATGTATGGATGGCATGGCTGTTAGGGCTGAGTCTCCTTCTCTCATACAGGGGGCTGGGCAGAAAGGGCGGCGACAATCGCGCACGCATGACCGATGATGTGCTCTGCCTGCAGCTCCGCAAAGCCGTGGCCAATTAAGAAAGCGGTTTTTGATGTTCGGGGGAGCGACATATACTAACACATGGAACAGGAAATCTCAGACCAAATGCATGAAGGCATGAACTGACGAGTTCGAGGCAACCAAGAAGCTACTTTCTAGAATGATCACAGTTCTAGTACATCATAATTGAGACGCAGGGCGTGTTGCTAGAAGTGCCGCAGCGACGCGGCTCTGTGCACGCAATGTGTGCGTTGATTTGGTCTGATCTGCACAGCGCTCTTTGGGCTACACAGCGGGATCGGATGGTTGTAAGCATGCATCCAGCAGCTGTGATGCATCTGTACAATGGGCAACCGCGCCTTTGGCGAAGACAAGCGAACCTGGTGATTACTGTCTGCACCATTCTGCATCTGAATTCAAAAGTACTCTCGGTCATAGCCTCCGGCAAGAATAGCTTGCGACTTAGCACCTGAATGCCTTCCACGTGCCAGGGCTGCAGCAGGAGACTCCTCCCAAAGGTTCTGGTGAGGAGAGGATGTCGGGCGGTCAGGCCTCACACGAAGGCGTGTCGCTGGCGGTCGCGGAACGGGCCTGAGGCCAGAGGAGCTCGCTTGCCTTTGAGGAGCTGGGGGGCTTGCAGCTCGCGTCACCCTTTGCACACCAGTTGGTCTTGAAGAGCGTGGTCGGCCTTGACTTTTTGGTTTGGAGAGCGCAGGTGCGGATCTGGCTTTCGCAGCTGCAGCTGCTTGACGATTGGCTGACAGCCGCTGGGCCGAGGGTGGCTGACTGCCCTGCCGACCCTGCCGACTGGACGGTCGTGACCGTCGTCCGGATTGGCTGTGGCCGGGATGAATTTTTGGGACGTTGGCAGATGCCAGATTCGGCTTCCTTACAAGGGTCGTTCAACGACGCATTCCACAGATGTCACACTCCCACAATCATAAGAACTTCCAGAAAAATGCCCAGGCTCTCCCGGAGTAGGTCGGCGGCATGCCGCCGCTCCGGAGAGTCTATACCTGAAAAGGGAGCTGCGAGCAAGGCCTTCTCTCGGCCAAGATCTATTCGCGGGTGCTGTTCGGATGAAGAGATACAACACATGACAAGCTTTTCGTCTGGCCCATCTCCAATGTGTTGCCTGGCCCCGCCAGGGCCAACCCGCGACAAAGGATCCAGTGTGCAAACTCATCGAACAGGACCATGCCTCGCAAGCGACCCGCGTTGCACCAATCACTTGGACAGAAGTGCCGATGATTGGCCCAAAGCCCATATCACCGCTCACTGCTCGCTTAAAAAGGACATGTCTCTTATGCAGCTGACGGCATCCCCACCTCCGCCATCAGCATCAACCTCGCTGAAAGCTGCCTCCGGGTCCCCAAGGTCGCCCGGAAGACGCGCGCGGAGCTGAGGCAATGCTGCCCGGAACTCCTGTTTCAAAAAAGCTTCAGCTTTTCCGCCTCGGCGGCCTAGATACTTACATAGATACCCCAACAGCAGCTCCTCGATGCTAATTCGCTGATCAGAGCTAGTGTCCGCCTGAACACAGGCCGCAAGCTGATGGCCAACTCTCATTAGCCCATGACTCAGGAAATCTGCAAGTCGCGGTGCAGCACAAGAATGCTGCACAACTGGTATCTATTGCGCTCAGCCTCACAGAACCAAGACCAGAGCTGCAGGTAGTGATGCAGATACTGCACAAAGTAATGAAACTCCCCGCTGTCGATATAGTCGTTACCTGGGTTGGTTCGAGAACTTTTGCACTTCGAAAGCCTGCTGCTAGCTATATGCAGCAGTTCCTCTGAAACATGATGGTTGATGCACGACTAGCTTCTGTGCACTGCGGCTGGCGGCGAGATGGCTTTTGCAGCGTGAAATGCACGAGCCACAACCTGCTCAGCTACCCTAACAAACAGGGGGGTGGGTTCTCAAGTGTGCATGGCTTGCCTAAGCTCAAGATTTGTGGTGCTTGTGGCCCTCGCGAAGCTCTGCTACCGGCTAGTATCCGCTAGTGACTTAGTGACTCTTCCAGTTTGGACGGACAGGCCGGCTGCGGCAATGCGGACGGGAGAAGCTTCTGCAATCCGTCGTCAACTTCCGCAAGTGACAAGAGCCCGTTACCTGAGCTTGATTCGGGCAAAAGAGCCTACACAAACAAAGTCCAAAAAACTGATGCAGGCATCTTTCCCGTTGCGACTGCGCTGCCATTGGGGTCGAAGCTGTGGAACAGCCCGTTGCGCTCAGAAACTGCAGCCTCTCATTGCAAGTTTGGATCGGATCTACCGTTCACAATATGACTCAATATGAGTTGGGTTGAGTTGGCAGGAATTTGACGACAGTGGGCTTTGCTTCGGCGACTCTGTGTATTTGGAGCAGCGCAAGGTACCTGACCTTCTGCATGCTGCACAACACACTTATGCGTGAAAAACATCTATGCTCTGGCTCCTGTAGGCAAGCTCTCAGCCCTTTCAATTCCCCACAAACCCTACCTCAACATTTCAGAACAACACTTAGTCAACCTACGCTGACGTCCATGTCGCGCTCTACATAACATCCCAGCGCACATCTACAGACGTCCAAGCATTTTCGCCTCCTCAGATCCGCATGGCAGCTGGGATGTCAGGGCTGACACCTCCTCCCACCCAGGCATCGTTAGCACCGCCATGGCTCCGCGGCTCAGAAGAGGAGGCGGCGCTGTGGCTGGAAGGCTTCTGAGATCTAAGCTGATTTTGCTAACATGTGTGGAGAGTCGCCATGCGGATTTTTCCTTTGGTCCGGACATCCGTTGTCTTTGCCCGATTCTTCTGGCTATCTATGTTACTTTTGCCGTGGAAATGTCGTGCTGCCAAACACCGCTTTCACGCACTGCTACCCCCTTCCGAAATCAAGGAATGTTGCTAGAGGGGCTGCCACTAGTGCCCCTAGTCCCGCAATCGAGAAGGCGCCCTGCACAGTATAACCGCCAAATGGTGCCTGCATAGCCCCAATAGCACCAAGAAGAAACCCAGCGTTGGCGCGCCTTGAGTTCTGCGCTGGATGTGATGGCAGCCAGCAGCATGCGAGCATATCTCGGAGCCTAGGAAATGCCCAGGGCTAGGGACTAAGAAGAACCCTTTGGGTTTGGACGAGGACCCATGCCATCATGCTCATTTGATAGCCAAGTGCTGCTGTACTTTTAGCAAACACTCATGAGAAGATCCATTTCTGCTCTTTTTATAAAACCCTCAATGCTTGCTTTTCTGCCGTGCAGGTGTCCTGCAAAAGCCTTGCACCATATGGGTTTTGCTAGAGTTCACTTTGTAGGGGTCTAAGAAATAACTCTTGCACGGGTAGAAAGAATTTGGGGTTTCCTACACGCCTGTTCGGGTTCCGTGGAAAACGTGTGGACTTTGTCGAGCAACCGAATTGTCCTTGGCCGCTCGATCTGTGTCGAGCGGAGTGGCGGAGCAGAATGAGACTATACAGGGGATTTGGCCAGCTCCCATAGGGGTAATATTGGGGGTTATATAGGGATAATGGAAAAGAAAATGGAAACTACTATCTTGAAAATGAAAATGTGCATGTTGCTGGACCGGTAAACGGACCCGTTCGCACGTATAAGGTCCCCAAACTCGAAACACTCTCGAAACTTGATAGATGCACTCACAAATATTCCTAAGGATCCCTACAAACACTCACCAAAAACCATAATCAACACCCTACGTCATCTGATCCCTACAAGCTCCTATACATGATATACCTAACCCTGTTTCCCAGTACATTTTCCATGTTCTTTTCCATTCGCTTCTCTGTTCTTGGGGGGAATAGAAGCCCCTGTTGTAATGGCATTGAGATAACAATCCAACCATACGGTAGTTTCCCATAAAAGAGGGACCCCAAGATAGACCCCAACATATTATAATCCTTATGGGGACTCCCAAAAGGGTAACCCTAATTTTGGGAAACCCTAAACCTTAAACTCTAAATTGTAGTTTCCATCAGTTTCCATGTTCTTTTCCATTGTCCCTATATAACCCCAATATAACCCCTTTAATACCTCAAGTGTAGCCGGGTGACCACCGGTAGCGCAGCGAGGCCTGAACCACCCAGGCTTCAGGTGCACTGAGTCAGGTCAGGTCAGGGCCTATTGGGATAAAGCATAGGCTCATTACCAACCCATGCGGTTAAGCAATGTCATTGCGCAAGATACGCAACAATAGAAACACGTGCATAAGGGCATAACGGCCATTACCAAGTTACCACCCAAGATAATTCCAAGTCATCCTTTGGTCTTGCATCATCAAGAGGCGCCATCTTTAGAACTCCAACTGCAATACGTGTTCCACTGATGCCGACACTGCGCTGAGTCTCTGGGGATCGCACGGTAGCCCAGCTTGGTGCACCTCACAAAATCTGACTATCAATGTAACGTCTCAAAATGCCTTGGGTTGCCCTGAACCCTATTGCCAATAGGAGGAAACCATGATCCAGCTTACACGCGCCTGACGGTTGCAGAGTTTGCTTTTGAGCCTCCACGCCGGGCAACGTGCAAGGAGAGCCAGCATACACGTGGCAAGTGGCTAAGGGTCAGGCCCTCGGCATTGCTGCCTGCGGCAGTGGGAGTCAAGGGGATAGGACTTCAGGTTTTGGCTTGGTACTTGCAATTATGAGACAGCGGTGGCTGAAGGCGTCTTTATGAGAGGACCGTACCCAAATCCAGCTGAACGACTGTCGTAACTCAAGTAGGAGATGCTAAATACGCGTTTTCTTCCAATTAGCGGTTCCTTTATGTAGGCTCCCTATAAGAAGCCTTATAGATTTTCGGCTAAGGCCCTATCGTGGAAACACCCAAAAAAGTAGTCTGCAGTAGTCTGCTGTAGGGCTCCCGCCGTCATCTTCGATTGCTCCGATGGCACGCAAACGGCGAATCGCGGCCTCATAAGCCACACTTGCTGTCACTTGCTATAGAGTCTAATCCTCTAATCTTTCCCCGAGCGACAGTGATTGCAACACCTCCACCCCCGATAGCTAAAAACCGCCCAGCATAGTACTACAACAAGATAATCGGGAACATTTCATACTGCGGGGTGGGCATCTTTTATGGTGGGAGATGGGATTATAGGGGGATTGCCATATGGCAACCATATGGCACAGGTCACAAAATTGGGGACCCCAATATAAACCCCAATGTACTGTAATCCTTATTATTGGGACCCCAAAAAGGTACCCCTAACTTTGGGAAAACCCCATATGGCACAGGCTCACTGGAAGAACTGGCACAAAACAACTTAGCGCCACGCAGCCACTGCTTCACTTGGTGGGGGTGTGGGCCTTGACTGTCTGTTGGATGAAATTGTTGGGGTTTAGGGTTTAGGGTTGAGGGTTTTAGAGGTTCAGGGTGGTTTTAAGGTTTTAGGGTTAGGGTTTAGGGGGGCCAAGTAGATGGACTATGGGGTATTATATGGGGACCTTATTCTGGTATTGGGCAATTTCATGTTCTATCTGCTTCAGGGGGACTATGGACGTATTCGTGGCTACTGGGGAATAAGGGCACATTACCTGGGGTTTCGGTTAGTAGGGAAGAAGGGAATGTCTAATAGAGGGGTTTTGTTCCCTTATTCCCTGCTAACCACCAGTACGTAGATGGGTTTTTTCCAAAAGTTGGGGAGTCCCCCTCGTACAAGTTCAAGAACAGTTCCAGAATACAGCTCGTGAACAGTTCAAGAACAGTTCCAGAGTAGAGCACGGAGAGAAAGGGGAGAGCAACGAGTTCGAGTTCAGCTCGAGTTCACGTTCGGTCCAATTTCTTAAGGCGGGGGGGGTTCAAGTTCAGTTCGAGTTTGCGTTCGTATCGCAAATAAGAGCACAACTCAAAGAGCAGATGAGGAAGGCCTGGATGGCGAAATACGAAGGGAAGGGCGCTACAGGAGGGGGGAGTTCGGGTCCAGTTCGAGCTCATCTCGAAATCCAAAGATTTCCTGCTAGCCGGAGGTTCAAAGGTTCGAGTTCAGTTCGAGTTCAAGTTTATTCTGATTTCACTTGGGGCAAGTGTCAGCGCTGGCGCGCGGAGCATCCTGCGAATTCTGTTTGAAATCGACGACTCTCTCGCTGTTTTATAGGGGCGTGGCAGCGCTGGCGCGTGGAGCATCCTGCGAACGCTGCTTGGAATCGACGATCCTTTCGCTGCTTTGGGCGCATGGTTGCGCTGGAGCGTGGAGTCTGTCTGAAATCGAGGCCCCTGTTGCTGTTTTAGGTTCGTGGCAGCGCTGGCGCGTGGAGCGTCCTAAGAACACTATCTGAAATCGACGACCCTCTTGCTGTTTTGGGGACGTGGCAGGCAGCGCTGGCGCGTGGAACATCCTCAGAATGCTGTTTGGAATCGACGACCCTCTGGCTGTTTTAAGCTGGCGGCAGCGCTGGCGTGTGGAGCGTCCTGAGAATTCCGTTTGGAACAGCGCCTTTCTCGCCGGTGAAAATGCCAAGTCTTGTCTGCTGGAGGGGGAAGGTTCGAAGTCGCTTTGAAATCCAAAATTGTTTAGGCTAGGGGGGGGTTCGAGTTCAGTTCGAGTTCCAGATCAGCCGGAGTTCCAGTTTAGTTCGATTTCAGTTCGGGAACTACAGTTCGAGTTCAGTTCGAGTTCCAGTTCAGTTCAAGTTCAGTTTGAAGTCCAGATTGTTTTTGCTAGGGGGGGAGTTCAACTTCAGTTATTCTGTTGGGATACATTATGGTACAAGATGTACAAGTACAAGTACGTAAGGTTCACAATTATTATTTTGCAAACTAACCCTAAAAACCCTAAACCCTGTGGGTTCTGCTCTGAGCCCCAAGCCAAGGGAAAACGTCCAGCCGAGGCACCCCAAGGAAAGCCAACAGCAACCTCATGGGAAAGGGTTAGGGTTTGGGTATTGGAACCACAGAGTAAGGCCTCCCTAAAAAAGGGTTTAGGGTTCAGGATTAGATTTGGTAATTTCCCAAAATGGGGGGAACCCGATATAGACCGCAAAATATTTTAGTCCTGATTGTAGGGACCCCCAAGCAGGCACCCCTCGTCTTGGGAAACCTCAACTTTGTCACAAGTCCACGAACATCCCGGAAGCACACAGCTGTCGCTCTCAAATTTCTCTCTCCCGCACATTTCGGCAGTGGGTCCACAATACCAGTGATGGCTACGTGCTGCTTTATCTGACCATACGTTACCTTCGCTGCACATCATCTACCGGGTCAGCCAGCTGTAGCCTTGCCAGTCAATCCGCCGGATGCAGACTAGCGTGGAGACTTGCTACCTGACTGTAGCAGTTCCATAGCCACATAGCAGAGGGCCATCAAACCTGCACGAGGGTTGAACTTACATCCGCTCTACGCTAAACCCCAGAGCCCCCGGTGCCTGCATCCACCCGCGGGCCCACACTCAACTTCAGCTGTGGGATGCCTGCACTATTCAGCACCACAGGTTTGACACTGGGGCATGTCTCGAAACTGTTGGTCTCCCGACTTGCCGCTTAGAATCTTTGCCTTTCCGGACCCTCAGTACCACCACCAGTCTGATCAGAGTGGTGATAACCATAGTCCTCTTATGGTGACGATGATGGTGATGATGATAATGCATACAGTAGCAGCAGCGGCAGCAGCAGCAACAGCAGCAACAGAAACAGCAGCAGAGGGAGCTGGAGAAGCAGCAGTGGCAGCCCACCAGGTAAGTACGGTCCACGTGGTAGCGGCTGTCCAGGGGAGGGGTGCTGAGTAGTACAGAGCCAGAGACAAAGAGAACTTAACAGAAGCAAGACTGTGGAAGCAAGACTAGACAATTTATCCATGAAAATCTTGAAACGAATTTCCACAACTGCTTACCATTAGGAACCCATGGAAATAACACCTCTTCAGGAAGGGCTTATTCCTAGAAACCCAATGATGCAATCAGAGCCGCCGCTTCCGTCCGGTGCCGCAGAGTCAGAGTAAGCTAACAGCTTTCCATCATCATCAGATGCATTTAAGCTTGTCCGAGAATTCCCTTGAAATCCTGAGCTTTGGCTTCCGTCTTCTCCTCTCTGAACCCACCATGCCACCAAAACAGTTGTGACTCTTACCACGTGCAGCCCGGCGGCTCAGCGGCCGACGGTTGTCAGCCGAAAGGACGAAGCTAGTGTCAAGCTTCTTCAAGGTCGCCCGGCGCTCACCGTACGCCTTCGAATCAACTCGTGACGAAGCAACGGGACCCTACAGTTCCAGAGGGCGGAACCTTTTGAAGGCTCTGCCAGCTCACCTATGAGCAAGTAGCAGGAAGACAGAGCCTTGCCATCGGCCAGTATGAATCCTGCGGAGCCACCTGTCGGTGTTGCCCTCCGGCAGGTGCAGAACCTTTGAGAACCCAAAAGTGCAACAAAATTAACCCCTAAAGCCTAAACCTAAATTCTTCAGCTGGCTTGCTGAAAAAATGCCCTCAAGGCTGCAAGCAGGTGACTTCGTGTCCCTCCCAGGACTCCAAAGGTTGAGCCTGGCCATAGTGACAACTCAGCAACTGCTATAGTATTTGGGCTTAGGGCTTAGGCGAAAAGATCACGGAAACTACTGTAGTGTATTGGGGTTATAGTCCCCCTCAGTAGATAGAATCTAGGGTATATGGAGATCTCTTTACAATATACCCAAAGCCATATTCTATTTACTTAAGGGGGACTCTACATATATCTAGAAATATATACAGGGATGGTGGAAACTACTTAGTAATGGGGCTATAATTATAGGGATGGTTGAAAAGAGCTAGCTGTCAGAAGCACGATGGCCTGGTTCCATCGGTGGCTTGACCGTCTGCAAGCACTTCCAGGATGAAGATTGCACCACCATTGATGTCAGAAACGGGCACGGATGCCCCGCGCGAAATGAGTCCACTGACTTGGGGCACCAGCAGTGTGCACTCCACCTTGTCAGGTTCTATGGTCGTAATGAGCCATAATGGAAACGAAAATGGAACTACTTTAGTATATCGGGGTAATATTGGGATAATGGAAAAGCAAATGGAAACTACTATAGTATATTGGGGTTATATTGGGGTACTCTTTCAGGTTTAGGGTTTAGGTTGACACACGGACCTTGTCCGGCACAACCAGTTGCGGGCAAAGGCTTATCAACGGAGAGCTCTCGCCAGAGCCCCGAGCCTCACGAGCCTGGGGGCTGAGCTCCGGGGGTCGGGTCACTTTGGCTGCCCTCTTGGCGGCGCCACCGGCGCCAATGGCACCAGCGCTACTCATAGCACCAGTTGCGCTGCGGGATAAAAAGGAAGGTTTGGTCAGAAAGGCGTCATCTTCTGCTTGCCGCGATAATGCACAAATACTCAGAACCGCCAGGAGGATGCCAAATGCTACGAAGTAGGGCATGGAGGTGGTGGCCTCGTCTGGGGTGACTCCCATCAGGGCGATGGCAACATGCCGGGCAAATTGGGACCCCTCGTCCAGCGGTCTTGTCTTCGTCTCAAAGCTGCTCATGTTCTGACTCTCATGCCTCAGCTACACCAATATGGGGATGATGGAAAAAAATGGAAGCTACTATA